TTTTTTTTTTTTTTTGATTTTTGGAGAGTTTTTGGATTTGTGTAAAGGCATTGAGACTTCGTAGTGCCTATAAGAACTGTTATGTTCTTATCGCGATCTTTGTTTTAGGAAATCCGAGAACGTTGGTACGAGAAGCTACATGACTGGGAGAACGCCTTGGCTGCCTATAAGAGCAAACTAGAGCAGGATCCTGATGACATGGCCTTGATACTAGGAAAAATGAGATGTATGGAAGCCCTAGGAGAATGGTACGTAGAGATACAGCTTTCTTATTAGTCGATGGGCAACCTTTTGGTAGGCTTTCCCTTTCCTATGATATAAAAATGCTTTCGCCCGATAAGCCTATAACCCTGAAACAACTCGAGGGAGGAGGGTCACAGCTTATTCACAGATTTAATAGTCCCTTTCACAGTTCCCTGCACCATCTTGAAAGGTAGCCGCGCCTTTGCATCAAAGCGAGACGAACGGTGAGCTTGCAATGATAGAGACCTTTGACAATTATTCGTATGTCTCTATCATTGCAAGTTCACCGTTCATCTCGCTTTGATGCTAAGGTACGGCTACCTTTCAAGATGGCGCAGGGAACTGTGAAAGGGACTATTGGAAGTGTTAGATATGTAATGTTGAGTCCAAGTATCGAACTCGGTTCCAGATATTTGAGGCGAGTACGAAAACTTCTGTAATTTGTTTTCAGGGGTGAACTGCACCAAGTAGCATGCGACAAATGGCCGAACGTTAGTGATGAGATACGAAAGAACATGGCAAGGATGGCAGCCGCGGCTGCGTGGGGACTGGGTAAGAGGAACTACTGAAGTAATCACGTGACAAGGTTAAAGTTGTCTAGCCTTGCATGGGTTTGGCCAAAACGTTCCTTGAGTTTCTTATGATGAGAAAAATTTCGTTGCTGTCTTATAGGCTTTTTCTGAGTTAGATAAGCATGATGCATTGTGGTCTAAATTGGGTACCAACACGCACGAACAACATCAGTTGTTTTTGTACCCAAGCTAGACCACAATGCACCGTGTTTATTGTCTCAGAAAAGGTGTTTTCTTTCTTCTCTTGACATTTTGCTGTTTATCAGTCGTAATACTTGTTCGTTCATCTTGATAAGGTAATTGGGAGAGTATGGAGGAATACACTTGTATGATACCAAGAGAGACCCAGGAAGGAGCGTTTTATCGTGCTGCCTTAACGTTACACCATGACCACTTCCAACAAGCTCAGGGTGTAAGTACTTTTGTATCCTCCTCTTTTCTCTTCTCTTCTCTTCTCTTCTCTT